TGCCCCGGGCGTTCACCCAGATCGTCTCAGGAATCTTGTCAATGAGCCTGCAGCCCCCGCTGCTGCTCCTTCAGGCCCTCGTGGACTAGGTCCACAACAACCCCCTCGAGGACCCTCGGCACAGTCTGCGCAGTCTGGACCGCCTACACAAGGCTTTGGTGGGGAGCGTGGCCGCGGTGATAAACGCTTCGCCGGCCTCAATAATATGCTTCAACAATCTGGTGGTGGCGGTGGTGACCGGGGTGGGAACACTCCGCCTGTTCGCGGAAGAGGCGCCAATCGACCACCGAGCAACATGGAGGCACCATCGCCTCAGCCTGCACACCGTCCACCCATGGGACCTGCAGGACCTCAAGAAGATTTATTCCGCAATCGACCCACCAGTGGCCGAGGTGGCGACCTGATCGATGATATCGTTCCCGAAGGGGGTCGGTCTGGACCAACTGGCAATCGCCGTGAAACGGAACCTACTCGCGAGAAAGAGCCTGAGCGCCGTGATGGCAGTAGCAGTGGTCGCAATCGACGCGATGGCCGTCGAAATGACCGCGAACGCAGCCGTCGAAGCGATGCAGGTGCTGGTGGAAGCCGCGACGAAAAAGGCACTGGCGAGCCCCGTGAGACCCTGCGCCGGGTTCAGAGCTCACGCGAAGAGCTGCGACGTCGAGACCGACGTGACCGCCCAGATGGACCGTCGGAAATGGCTGGACCAACACCTAGTAACAGTGAGACCCAAGAGGGTGAAGGTCGTTTGCGACCCTCATCCGCCATGGAGGCACCCCCACCCCCTCCGCCTCCGCCTCCCCCCATGCCGGAAGGAAACGAGCGTCGGTTCAATTCTGGCGACCGGGGTAGCCGGTCCGACAATCGGGATCGCGAGCGCGAGCGCCGGGGCGATCGACGTGACCGAGATCACCAGCGTGAGGGTGGCAGCGGCTCTGGAGGCTCTGGGCACCGTAAGCGCGGTCGACAGGGCCCTGATGATGGCACTGACGGTGGACGCGGCATGAGAATGGGAAATGATAACAAGCGTCCTCGTCGAGGAGCATGATTCTCACCGTTCACTATTGATACCCCATTGAAAGGAAATGATGGAACCTTGCCTTTTTTTTTGACATTTACTATGCTACAAACCTCAAGTACTCCCCTACACTGGACTGTCTACTGTTTCCTATCTTGTCTTTGCATTTTGCCCGGTGTTTGGGGACAAACCACTTCACTTCTTTACTTGTACTTTTTTCTTTCTTTTCTAAATGAACGTAACAGAAATGCGATATCCCAGGATCTTCGCTAATTAATTGCTTTCGATTGACTCCATAAGTACTACTCCGTTACCCTCCAGGCTTAACGGTCCGACATCCGATATCTCTGCCCCGCCTGACCCCTGCCGGCTAAACTTCGGACTCGCCACTACCTCCGTGGCCCTTTAAGAAAGCCGGTGGATTGTCTGAATCTCTTGAGATGTCATTTGTCTTAACCAACTCAGCATCTCATGTAGCCCATCATCATTGGACATTGCTCTACAGCTTCCCCGCCTACCTGGCTTCATCATCCCACACTTCATACATTGGAAAACACCAGACTTTCCAGCTTTGGTATAAAACGGATTGATTCTGTTCTCTTTTTTTCCAGATCCTAACTGGATTGCTTCTTTTCATTTTTTGTGAGATCAGTAATCGCAAGCCCAATATCGAACAGTTACACTCTTGTCTTCAAAGCAATTGGACAAGAGCAAAATCAATTCATAAACACCCAAGAGAAGAAAAACAGCACTGCATGACATCATGGCTCGAATTGATGTCGAGAAATCCATCGAAGAGCTCACGCTCGGCGAGAAGGTAGCCCTCACAGCTGGTAAACCCCAATTTCCACTCCCAAAAATGCTGTCCCAGAACTCACTTCCCACTAGGCCGTGATTTCTGGCACACAGAATCAGTTCCACGCCTCAACATCCCTGCACTACGCATGTCCGACGGACCAAATGGCGTCCGTGGCACTCGCTTCTTCAACGGTATCCCAGCAGCATGCTTCCCCTGCGCAACGGCACTCGGCGCAACCTGGGATACCGAGCTGCTATCGCAGGTCGGCGCATTGATGGGCGATGAAGCGATCGCAAAAGGCACACACATCGTACTAGGCCCCACTATCAATACCCAGCGATCGCCGCTGGGCGGGCGCGGCTTCGAGTCCTTCTCGGAGGATGGTGTGCTTTCCGGTACGCTAGCTGGCCACTTCTGCAAGGCACTGCAGGAGAAGGGTGTTGCTGCTACGCTTAAGCACTTCGTCTGCAACGACCAGGAACATGAGCGGTTGGCTGTTAGCAGTATTCTGACTAACCGGGCACTGCGTGAGATTTACTTGATGCCGTTCCAGTTGGCTATGCGGATTTGTCGCTCGCGGTGTATTATGACCGCCTATAATAAGGTTAATGGGACTCATGTGAGTGAGAACAGGGGTATAATTGATGATATCTTGCGCAAGGAGTGGGGCTGGGACGGTCTTATCATCAGTGACTGGTGAGTATCGGTGACGGGTTCATCTTTGCCAGGTCTTTTGCTTATTCGGGGGCTGACGCTGGAGTTTCGTTTGGTAGGTTTGGTACCTACAGTACCTCTGATGCCATCATCGCCGGTCTCGATATCGAGATGCCCGGTAAGACTCGCTGGCGGGGTGGGGCTCTTGCACACGCCGTCTCGTCAAACAAGGTGACCCAATACCAGCTCGATGAACGCGTGCGCAATATCCTCAACCTCATAAACTGGGTTGAACCCCTAGGCATTCCCGAGGGAGCACCTGAGAAGGCTCTCAACCGGCCAGAAGACCAGGCTCTGATGCGCCGCGCTGCAGCCGAGTCTGTCGTGCTGATGAAGAACGATGGTGATATTCTTCCCCTTAAGAAGGATGGCTCTCTGCTGGTCATTGGACCGAACGCTAAGATTGCTGCCTACTGTGGTGGGGGCTCGGCCTCGCTGGCTCCTTACTACACTGTCACCCCGTTCGATGGCGTCTCCGCCAAGACCAAGGGAGAGGTCAAGTACAGCCAGGGCGTGTACTCTCACAAGGACCTGCCGCTCTTGGGTCCACTGCTGCGGACTGCAGACGGCAAGCCTGGCTTCACGTTCAAGGTTTACAATGAACACCCCAGCGCTGGCGAGGATCGACCGGTTTTGGACGAGTTACATCTACTCGAATCTTCCGGGTTCCTGATGGACTACGTCAACCCGAAGATCAAGTCTATGACCTACTATGTCGATATGGAGGGGACGTTTACCCCCGAAGAAAGCGGAATCTACGAATTCGGCGTGACAGTCGTCGGCACAGGCCAACTCTTCATCGACGGCGAAGTGGTCGTCGACAACACCAAGAACCAGAAGCAAGGCTCTGCCTTCTTCGGCACAGCCACTATCGAAGAGATCGGCACTAAAGAGCTTAAGGCCGGCCAGTCATACAAGGTTCTCTTCCAGTTCGGCAGCGCACCAACCTCAGACCTCGACACACGCGGAATTGTCGCCTTCGGCCCAGGCGGTTTCCGTTTCGGCGCCAGCCGACACGTGAGCCAAGAGGAACTGATCACCAACGCAGTCGAGCAAGCCAAAACCGCCGAGCAGGTCATCATCTTCGCCGGTCTCACCCAGGAATGGGAAACCGAGGGCCACGACCGCGAGCACATGGACCTCCCCCCCGGCAGCGACGAGCTGATCGGCCGCGTACTGGAGGTGAAGCCGAACGCAGTTGTCGTGATCCAGTCCGGCACGCCGGTCACGATGCCGTGGGCACAGAATGCCAAAGCGCTCGTGCAAGCCTGGTTCGGCGGCAACGAATGCGGTAACGGTATCGCAGACGTCCTCTACGGCGACGTCAACCCCTCCGCCAAGCTGCCAATCACCTTCCCCCGCCGTCTGCAAGATAACCCCTCCTACCTGAACTTCCGGTCCGAGCGCGGCCGCGTCCTCTACGGCGAGGACATCTACGTTGGCTACCGGTACTTCGAGAAAAGCGATGTGGCGCCTGGCTTCGCTTTCGGGCATGGTCTGTCGTACACGAGTTTCGCACGGTCGGATTTGCGCCTCGAGACTGTTCCCGAACAGAGTAAGTACACTGAGTCCGGTGAGCCTGTCACTGCGTCTGTGACTGTCTCCAATACGGGGTCTGTGGCCGGTGCCGAGATCGTGCAGCTCTGGATCGTGCCGCCGAAGACTGATGTTGGTCGTCCCGTGCGTGAGCTGAAGGCATTCCAGAAGGTTTTCTTGCAGCCTGGGGAGAGTAAGACTGTGCAGTTGGTTGTTGAGAAGAAGTTGGCTACGAGCTGGTGGGATGAGGAGCGGGAACAGTGGATCTCCGAGAAGGGAACTTACCAGGTTCTCGTTACGGGTACTGGGACGGAGGAGCTGCGTGCCGAGTTTGAGGTTGGTAGGACGAGGTTCTGGCTTGGTTTGTAGGACTGTGTTTGCTGTGTTTGCTGTGTTTGCTGTGTTTGGTTTTTAGATCGGACCATTGTCTCACGATTGTAGGGTTTTTTTTAATATGTGGGCTAGGCTGGCTTGGGATTTCTCGAACCCTCATGGTTTCGGTTCTGATTTTTGTTTTATCATTCTGTTAGTTTACACCATTGTACTCGATGAAGCAAAATCCAGGGCAGAATCTGGATGCATAGTGGTTCAGCGATATTCATGTTCTCCAGAACGTGGCGAACGCATGGACCGAGCAGAAAGAGAGACGGGCCAGGCTGTCAATGTTTGATGAAAAGGATGTTTTGAAAGGAACCTGATCTGACGCGAAGTAAAATCATTTGAAACAAAAATTACAGGTGAACATCCCAGAAATCGAGCAGTAGACCTGGTAAATGGTAAAAGAGCAGGTAAAGAAAAAGGGTATATATGCACAGAACAGAACAGACATCAAGATCAAAAGACACCGAGAAAGGACAAAAACCACCTGCTCAAATCCCACGAATCCCACGTGAGGCATATTCAAACATCTCCAACACCCACAACCTGCTCCGATTAGCAAACCCCATTGTCATGATTCCTCCTCATGCCCAGCCCAGTCAACTTCTTCAACAAAAGGGAGGCCTTCTTTCGTCGGTTGTTTTGAGGCGGTGAAGTGGGCATCGCAACAGAGTAAACACACTCCTTGTGCTTGGACTCATTCGCCAAACAAGAAGCTGAGTAAGACACCCCACAATTGGACCCGGCAAACAGGGGTCCAGGCAAATGTTCCTTCGATGCACCCAATCTCGAATTACCGGTGTCAGGTCTCGACGTTGTGGCCCTTCCACCCAGTGATGATGATAATGAAACATCACTGTAGATGCTCGAGATCCGGTCCCCCCGATAATTCTTCGTCGGCCATGCATGGGAGTTGAATTCCCCTGTTGTTTGATAGGAACTGTAGAAGCGGGCCACTGAGTTGGGCTTTGCAGCTTGGATTGCTGGTGGCTTTGCTTCGTCGGTGAGGCGTTGGGTGTCTCTGCTAACGTGGATCCAGGTCCTGTCTGTGCTGCCGAGAGATGGTGCATCTTGTGGGGATATGGCGGGGGAAAAGGCGTCAGGTTTGTTCAAATATGGGTTGGTGTCGCTTTCGTTGAGCGAGCTAACTGGGCTGTCCAGAGTCGTTGGGTTGGATGGCCACTCGCTGTTGAGATGCGGGGGACTGTATGGGAATGGAACCGGGCTTGGAGAGAAGGATCGTTCCCTCTGGTTATCCTTTTCGTTTGTTGTTACTAGACTGTGGCTCCGGGGGCGGGATCCTGTTGATGGGCTGTGTGGCGGTGAAGCGTAAGGTTGTGCGTTGTAGAACCGTGCTGAGCTGTTTGTGCGCGATACACTGTTGCCGTAGGTTCTTCCTGGTTGGCTGGGAGAATTGAAGGTCATGCCAACACCAGAATCATGCCTCTTGGTGCTTTCAGCTTGGAGGCTGATTGGGTTGGGCGCCGACAGAAGAGTGACATTCTGTCTCAAGGACGAAGGCGCTGCTTCGACGCTAGTCTGACCAACGGGATACTGTCCAGCTGTCGACACCGGCACCTCGCTCCGATAGGACAATCCGGCTGGAATACCACGGTCTATGGTGTGAGATAGCATAGCACATGCATGCTTGATATCAGCTTCAAGGTCATCTCCAATCTCTTGGCGGTCAATAAGCGGCGATGCAGGGCGGAAGTAACCCGGCTCATCTATGAAACTGTAGCCCCGGATGGGATCCCCGCTGTCCCACGTTGGCTCATCGTGGGCGGGGGACTCGGGATTCGTCGCTGAGCGAGGACGACTGCTTGATGGACTGGGTTCAATGGGCAAGACCAGTGATTCCAGGCCTCGTGCGGAGTTGCTTCGGATGAAAGGCAAACGGTGACGTAACTTTGCTTTTGATGGATTGCGCTCCATCTCGGGATAGGTGGTTTTGCCACGAAGGAATAGAAGCGACAAATTATAGAAATGAATGGGGTCCTCAAATGACTCCAATACGCCCGATCAAAATCCAGGCAATTTCCCAACCTATGTGATGCCAAGTTCAACCCGTTGTCGGCACAACTGTCTGGTATGTGAAGGGGGAATGTAGATCCAGTCACCCAAAGACTGGGACAGCAGAGTTAAATAGAAAAAACCCCGAAAAAGACTTGAAACAATGCTAATTAGTTGACAGGGTAAAGATAGTGATACTAGAATTAGTCTGCATAAAAGAAAAAAAAAAAAAAAAAGAAGCTAGATCGACAACACATTGAATCTCCACTTTTAGGGTCTCTACTTTCTTATTTTTCTGCTCCGTACTCCGTACGAAAGGTCAAATTTGGGAAATTCAAGACTTAACCAATACTATTCGGTTAAATAGGTTAATTTGAAAAGGGTGTAAGCGCCAGAGTTAGACCACGTACACTAGTGTGTGACTCAGGGCTTTTGGCGCCAGCGAGTCTTCAGGCACTAACTGCATGTGGTAGCAGCGAGCAGGAAATCAAATATCTCCCCAAGTGTCCGACAAATCTGACCATTCAGCTCGGGCCAACTTATCGCTTTTTTTCCACTTCATATTGGACATGGGCTTGTTTCTTTTTTTAGATATGGCACTACTCAGGACGGGAGGACCTGTCCGATTTCAGTATAAACTAGATCCACCACCTTATGAGGTTCATCAATTCATGAATATTTGGCGGAGATCAAAAAGGGAGGCAAAAACCGAATTGGTCCATAGGTCCAAGTGTGATTTTGATTTTCTATTGAAAGGATGCGACGAGCGTGTCGCAAAGATAACCAATGGCTATCGTTACTGAAAACGGACCCATCACCCCCCGGCGGAGTATCGTTCCGGAAGAAATTGACCCAGAGGGCGGGTCTGATGGAGAGCAGTTGGATGCTTCTTTGACAGTCTTCTCGGACAAGGGCAAAAGCCAAGTGAGAGACGGGAGAGGCAGTTGGATGCTCATCTCCCTGACTGGCGGAACGGAAAAAAGAACGGCAACCTACTTCCCCTGATGCACCATGACATCTATCCGGTCGCGGACCCCTCGATAGGATTCTGGACCCAGACTAGAGTATGGGACTGGCGGCAGAAAGAACTGCGCCTACAATACTGTTTGGCATCTCAACGCTTTACCAAGCGGTGATATCCTCCACCTCGGCCTCACCAAAGGTACTGCTCTTCGTCAGCTTAGTGACACTGGCCACAGCAGCCGCACCATCGGCGCCCGACTTGGCCATGATATCGGGTAGGACTTCGTGGAAGAATTCGACAATGTGGCGGTTGACTTGCTCAAATTGAAGCAAGAACGCATCATGGCCTTCGGGGCTATCGATGCGCTTGAGGCGAGAGTCGGGGATGCCAGCTGCGATCTCCTGTTGTTCTGCAAATGTAAACAGACCATCCGACTCGATGCCTAGAACTAGAGCCGGCTGCTCGACGCGTCCGAGGGCTTCGAGGACGGTGTCCTCAGTGTCGGCGGTAGTGTTACCACGGCGGCGGGACACATCATGCGTATCGAGCTTGCGGGTCATGGCAATGTAGCAGTTGGCATCGAATCGCTTGACGAATTTATCACCCTGGTAACGAAGATATGACTGTGCGGAGAAGTAGGTCGGTGGACGAGGACGGCCGGATGTAGTCAGCTTGGGCTGTGTGTCGACTTCGGGGGCAAATGTCTTGGTGCCAGAGAATTGCGGATCCATGAACTGGACCTCGGCCTCGTTCACAGGAGCCGGTGAGCCTTGTCTGCTCTCCGAGCGTGAAGTTGTTCCGCCACGGTGTCCATCGTTGTGGATAGCCCAGTGCTCGTTCGGGGGGGTAGGGAGCTTTTCTGTGCCGTTGATGTTTCGCGGCTTGCTTGGATCCGGTACATTGCGACCGAACCGAGACTCGAATGAGTTGCGGCTACGGTAAGTGAGGAGTGCTGACATGCGAGCTGCACCGAGGCCGGTGGATGGCGGGTCATTAAATGCATAGTAGCCATCGTCATACTTCGGGTCGCTATAGATACTCTGCCGCTGTGCCTCGCCCCAGCTGATGCACCATGCGGAATGGCGTGCTGAAGTTGCAATTGGCACAATAGCACGCACATAGTCTTTGCCGAAAAATGCGTATTCCAAGGTGAGCATTCCACCCATGGATCCTCCGACCACCGCAGCAATCTGCTTTACACCGAGGTCATCCAGTACGAGTTTGTGGATGTTGACATCATCACGAACAGTCGTTAGGGGAAACTCAGGTCCATAGTAGCCATTTTCAGACTTCCCATCCTTGTACGTCACAGCACTCGCACTTCCGTACGGACTGCCCAAACTGTTGAGGCAGATCACGAAGAATCGAGAAACATCGAATGCTTGGCCAGGACCACCGAGGAGAGGGCCCCACCAGTCAGCGACATCGGCACTGCCACTAAGAGCGTGACAAATCACCAGCACATTATCACCGGTAGGAGCGAGCGTTCCACGCGTGGTGTATGCAACCGGGACGTTGTAAAGGATGACACCGGACTCAAGTTTGAATGAAGGGATGATCGCAATGGATTGCTCCTCAATCAACTGAGCATAAGGGTTCTCAGGTTGCGAATGGACCCTCTCTACGGGATTTAGTAGCCGTTCATCAATTAAAAGTGGGGGAGATAGACTGACGGTATTGCGCAGTAGGGGCACTGCTAGTTTCAGCCATCATGAAAACGAGACAACAAAATGCAAAATCTCAAAAAAAAAAACTTGGAGTTGGAAATTGGGAACAGGTTGTACTTATAATGACAAAATCGAGTGAGTCAAAAACCCCGCAAAATTTTGGCCGGTACCGCTGGCAGAAAACAAAGTGTAATTTTATCACGTGCATTTTGTCACGTGCGGCTAGGGCTCGCTCCACACTTGACCTTTTTAATCTGTGCGAATTTTCTTCCTCCGTAGCCAACCACCCAACAAACCTTCTTACGAGCCAACCCCTCAAAACATTCAAAATGGTCAAGACTAAGAAGTCCGGTGACACCCTCTCCTCGCGCCTGGCGCTTGTGATGAAGTCTGGCAAGGGTAAGCAGGTCGTTTCGACCGCACAAATGAGCAGTTCACTGACACCTTCTCTCAGTTACCATGGGTACCAAGTCCACCATGAAGACTCTCCGCTCTGGCAAGGCCAAGCTGGTCCTCATCTCCGGAAACTGCCCTCCTCTGCGCAAGTCCGAGCTTGAGTACTACGCCATGCTCGCCAAGACCCCCGTTCACCACTTCAACGGCAACAACGTACGTTCCACTCCCCTTTCCTTCTGGTCGGCGGCCTGAAAAACCTGGTTGTCGCACCTCGGTGTCAGCTACACTACTCTGAGAAGAAGTTGGTCAAAACTACCACTTCGGAGAGTGAAGTTGCTCAGCGAAGGGATTCCCGCAAGGCATCCCGGAGAGCGAATTGGACTAACTCGCCCTATAGATTGAGCTCGGTACCGCTTGCGGTAAGCTCTTCCGCTGCTCCGCCATGGCCATCCTCGATGCTGGTGACTCCGACATCCTGAGCCGTGAGGCTTAAGCGTATCGCTCTGTTGCGAGCCAAATAAAAAGATATAATCTTGAACCATTCTTGAACAAAGCTTCTCCCAAAAATAATGATAGAAGTAAGGGAACTTCCGAGCTAAGCACATTCTAGATATGCGTGCAAAACTACTTGACCACTATGTTAAATGCGCTTGTCTTCGGACAAGGTCAGACGCTTCATAGAACTAGGCTAAAAAGTAATACCCAAACAGCCTTTCATAATCACAAGTCCGCCCGTTCCTGTTCAACTTGGGTTTGGTCTAGTATTTGTTAGGCTTCGTGGCGCTGATTCTAATTCTATGTTGGCCATGTACCAGCCGTAAATCACACCCAATAACCCACAAGACCATTATCATACAAGAGCTTGCAAGGCAAACCCGAAAAAAGCTTGGATAGATTCAAAATCTGAGCTCAGAGAGACTCCATGCCAAGTGAATCCGAAATTCCCCAAACCCCTAATTCTAAGAGCGCCCTAACAGATGCATACGCTATGCTGTGGAGATGGTCTAAACAAAACTCATGGAACAGGTAAACACGCCTCTTCTTCCCGATGGAGAACTCAATTTGTTGGCCCCGGGGGATCTACGGCTCTCGGTGAGCCTTTTTCGAGTCTCGCCGAGGTAGAACCTAACTAAGAATCTCTTTTAGTGGCATTCTCTGGCATTCTCAACATTGGGCGTGAATAAATTCAGCTTTGATGTCCGTGCCATTTCAACCCCCACACGACTCCGCAATCTTTGCGGGGAAAGATTTCAAGCACAAATAGCCTGTATTGCTCGGCTTGAACACATCACTAATTTAGCCTGAAGTTTCTTCGACAACGTTGTGCCACCGGCGAGTCCCCCGATGTCTGCCGGAATTTCCACATAAAGGGGGACTTTGATCTGCAGTGAGTGATTGGGTGTATGCACTCCAGACAAGAAACTCTTGCTACAATGCGTGCACTCCTGCTGTTTTCCTCCTTGGGCTTTGCAGCTGCTGAAAATGGCCTCAAAGGCTGGCTGCGGTACGCATCGTTGCCCTGTTCACGTCAATGTCATTCCAACGTCCCTTCGAGTATCGTCGCCCTCAATGCGACTGAGACAAGTCCGGTACATGTTGCGGGAACAGAGTTGCAGAATGGCCTCAAAGATGTTTATGAGAAGTGTTTGCAAATCACATATAACAAGTGCAAGACGTCTTCCTCGGTTTTTATTGGCACGGTTGGTCAACATCGAGAAATCTGTGGCGCTATGAACGATGTACCTGAACTGAAAGAAGATGGGTTTTGGCTCAACACCAAGGGAGAAAACATCTATATCCTCGGACAAAACGAGAGGGGTGCTCTTTATGGCACCTTTGAATACTTGTCGATGCTTTCACAGGGAAATTTCTCCAAGGTCGCCTATGCATCCAATCCTTCTGCCCCTATTCGCTGGGTGAATCAATGGGATGATATGGATGGGAGAATTGAACGTGGCTATGGTGGTCCCTCTATCTTCTTCAAGGATGGACAAATTGTCGACGATCTAGCCCGTGTTGCTGAATACGCCCGCCTTTTGGCTTCGATCAGAATCAATGCCGTCGTCATTAACAATGTTAATGCGGATGCGGCCCTCTTGAATTCTACAAACCTTGACGGGGTGGCTCGAATCGCTGATGTCTTCCGCCCATACGGGATACAAGTTGGCATATCGCTCAATTTCGCATCCCCTCAGACTTATGGAGGGCTCAGCACTTTTGATCCCCTCGATGCATCTGTCATCGAGTGGTGGTCTAACATTACGACTCAGGTCTATGATCGAGTTCCCGACATGGCTGGCTACCTCGTTAAGGCTGACTCAGAGGGGCAGCCAGGCCCCCAGACTTATAATAGGACCCTCGCCGATGCAGCGAACCTTTTCGCCAAAGAAGTCCAGCCCTACGGTGGCATCGTCATGTATCGCGCGTTTGTCTACAACAAGCTGAACGAATCAATCTGGACGGATGATCGTGCAAAGGCTGCCGTGGATTTTTTCAAGGACCTAGATGGCGAATTCGACGACAATGTGGTGATTCAAATCAAGTATGGGCCTATTGATTTCCAAGTCCGTGAGCCAGCATCGGCCTTGTTTGCGAATTTGGTCAACACCAGCATGGCCATTGAACTGCAGGTCACTCAAGAATACCTTGGACAGCAGTCGCATTTGGTCTATATTGCTCCCCTTTGGAAGACAATCTTAGACTCTGACCTTCGGGTCGACGGCCAGCCATCCCTGGTTCGTGACATTGTGGCTGGTAAACGGTTCAACCGCAAACTGGGCGGGTCAGCAGCTGTTGTCAACGTGGGTACAAATACCACCTGGCTTGGAAGCCACCTGTCTATGTCAAACCTATATGCCTATGGTCGCTTGGCCTGGAACCCGGTAGACGATATCCAGGATATACTGCAAGACTGGATCAGACTGACCTTTGGGCTCGACCGCAAGGTACTTGACACCCTCACTCGAATGTCCATGGAATCTTGGCTCGCCTACGAACAATATAGTGGCAATTTAGGCATCCAGACGTTAACAGATATTATATACACTCACTATGGTCCTAACCCTGCATCTCAAGACAACAATGGCTGGGGCCAATGGACCCGCGCAGACAAAACTAGCATCGGCATGGATCGGACGGTAGCAAATGGCACAGGCTTTTCGGGTCAGTATCCGGATGAGATCGCTGCCATGTATGAAAACATCGAAACCACACCCGACGCTCTTCTACTATGGTTCCATCACGTGAAATATCTTCACCGTCTTCATTCGGGGAAGACCGTCATTCAGCACTTCTACGATGAACACTACAGCGGGGCAGAAACAGCACAGACCTTCCTTACGCAATGGGAATCACTTCAGGACAAAATTGATGCTGAGCGATACCACCATGTTCGGCACTTCCTAGACTACCAGAGCGGTCATTCAATTGTGTGGAGAGATGCGATCAATAACTTTTTTTACAATCTTTCAGGCATCCCTGATCAGGCCAAACGCGTCGGCCATCATCCATGGCGCATCGAAGCGGAAGACATGACGCTAGAGGGCTACAAGACTTATACCGTCAACCCCTTCGAGACAGCCTCCGGTTCTGTTGCAATTGTTACAACTTCCAACGAGATAGCCGGCACCGCTTTAACCGAAATCAACTTTCCCTCTGGCACCTACGATCTTGCAGTGAACTACTACGACGTATACGGTGGTCAGTCACAGTGGAAGGTCTATCTGAATAATCGGGAAATCGGACGATGGATTGGCAATGGTGAGAGTATCTTCAGTCACACGCCTTCTGTCCATTTGGATGGGCATTCGGCAATTCGTATCAAGTTCCGGGATGTTAAGATTCATAAGGGTGATACTTTGAAGATTGTTGGCATGCCTAATGGTACTGAGCCAGCGCCATTGGACTACGTGGCTCTGCTGCCAGCGGGCATTGTAGATTAGAAGTTTCTTTTATGTTGACTGTCTTTCCCACCCAGCGTAGTGTTTTTACTTTTCACTACCACTGCTTACTTGTATGACAATATTTGAAGAGCATGGGGCTGGTCGAAGTATCGTCATGACTTGTTCCAAAGTAGATGATGTGATCATATCTTATGTGTACAGCTTTTGAAAACTTTCCATCCACCAAAGGTACTGGTCCTCAGTTAAGACCGGAAATAAGGCCATCCTAACACTTGTGAACAACTTCCCTCGTGTACCAAGGTCCTTTGTTGCTTAGCTGATGGAAATAGTATTGCTGCATCTTCACTCATTTTGGTATATGATCCCGAAGACAAATTAGGCCGCTAACTATAGGGAGTAGATTAGGCCCTAACATCCGTTAGGGACCACAATTGCAGACAATGTTAGTGAATGGCCATTGGCCAAAAGTTTTACATGGAAAAGTCCTTTTCACAATTTACTGCTTTTCCCGCATTCTTCTACCTCAGTCTTCTACCTGAGGTAGAAGGAAAACAATTGTTTTAACCAAATTAATCAACAGTTGTCTTATAAGACCACCTAAAGCACATGGTAAGGTTACATAAGCTACCGACTATTCTTGTATAGTTAGGTTAACTAGTTAATAGTTAGCAAAACTGGGTTTACTTCAGCCGCATCTAATTTATCCGTCACAATGCTGTAGATGGTGATGTGCGAGCTTGAACATGCCAAACTCTTCAAACTTTCTTGGGACATCTCCAAATAGAGGGGTTTTTTTTTTGCTGAATTTGCTTTGAACAATTCAAGTGAGGGATATGTATTTGCTAGATTTGTTGTTTTGTCCGGTTGCATGCGATGGATTGTTCAGACAAGAGTGACGCTAGTCCATTTAGAGCTAGCGTCCTACATCATCGGCGCGCATTTCCATCGCGTCCCCAGACTCAATCCCTCCGCTCCAACCAATTGTCTTATTCTTTTGGACATGAACAACTTGTCTCATCTCGTTTAAACTTCACTTGTTACATCGCCCTTTGAGGTGGAGAGTCTCTCACCATGAGTGATTATTCGTCGTTGAAAGTGGCTGATTTGAAGGCCGAATGCAAGAAGCGCGGCATCCCTCAGACCGGCCTCCGCCTTAAGCAGCATTTCATTGACAAATTGATTGAGCTTGACTCACAAAACAACCAAGCTACAAATGAAGTAGCAACTTCAGCTGAAGAAGCTACCGGATCACAGTCATCTGCACCAGACGCTGTTTCGCAAGAAAAGTCACAGCTCGAACAACCAGAGAATGAACTGCTTGGACAACCAAAGGGGGAGTCAGTTTCACAAATTGAAGAAACCCCAGCACCTGTGTCGGTATTGGATCCAGCTCAGGATGGAAAAACACGGGCAGATGAGTCGACCCAAGAAGAGGCAGTTCCGGCAGCTGATGTGACATCGCAAAAACCTGAAGATGTCGCAAAGCCTGTGGAGGATGCACAAGCAGAGACAACAACCCCTGGAAATCAGGATCCTGCATCTGCAACTGACCAGCCGCAAATGGATGAAGCAACCCAAGATGCGAAGAACCAGGACCCCGTGAAGGCTCAAGAAAAAGTGATCTCCACTGCCCAAATTTCTGAGGTTGACACCGGCTTATCGACACCTCTCCCAGTGGAAGAGACATTGGAGGATACGCGCAAACGGAAACGCCGTAGCCAGAGTCCGGCTCCTACTCTAGAAGAGATTGCGAACAGGAAGGCTCGCGCGAAGGAAACAACCCCACGTGTGTTACTGAAAGACGATGAAGTGCCAATTTCTCGTCCTGAGGAGCTCAGTGTTGTAAATTCCAAAGACCAAAAAGCAGCGAAGGACCATACAGAGAAGCAATCTATTGAGATACAAACAGACTCGCACAAAACCCCTACTAAGCAAGACGCCCGATTCCGCAACTTATTTCCACCTGCCGGTGCATCCTCCCAACCCGCTTCTCCTCCAAGAGATGTCACAATGCAAGATGCGGACGTCACCCCCGCGTTGCACTCTGCAACCTCTGCCCTCTACATCGACGGCCTCATGCGCCCACTTCAGCCGACTGCACTTCGCAAACACCTAGCCAGCCTCGCATCCACGACCGAAACTCCAGATCCTGATGCCATCATTGACTTCTATCTTGATGCGATCAAAACTCACTGCTTTGTGAGATTTGCCAGTCCCGCAGCCGCCTCGCGGGTCCGTTCTGCCGTCCACGGGACTGTGTGGCCTAACGAGCGCAACCGCAAGAATCTCCGAGCAGATTTTATCCCCGACGAAAAAATCAAAGATTGGATTGAGATCGAAGAGAAATCCCGAGACCGAGCTGGCGCTGCTGCCCGTTGGGAAGTGAGATATGAGACATCTGATGACGGCATCACTGCCACCCTTGCCGAGGTGGGCTCCCCTCCCTCTGGACCCTCTGGACGACGTGAATCGGGTTTCAATCGTACTCCGCCCTTGGGCCCACGCCGCGATATTGAGCAGTTTGGCCGTCGCCCTTCCAACGCGCCTCTTGCAGTTCCCGCACCCCCGTCGCGACCTGGGCAGGGGTTTAAGCCACTGGATGAATTGTTCGAATCTACTACTACAAAGCCCAAGCTGTACTACCTTCCCGTTCCACGTCACATTGCTGACAAACGTCTGGACCAATTCGATGAGCTGATTCAGAAGGGCACATTCCCACGCCATGGTGGCGATGAAATGCGGCGAATTACTTTCAAAGATGGTGATAAGTTCATAGACATTGGCCCGGAACGATTTAGCCCTGGACCTCGATCTGGTTCCGGACGTGGACGGGGACGTGGTGGACGGCGTGGGGACTTATGGCGCACTTGAAACAGTCGGCTAAACGCATCTTCCGGTTGGGCGATTGTAATTGGTCATGTACAATAAACTTTTAGCTGCAAAAATGCTATAGGAAGAATCGACATGAAACCAGATGACAGAATAAGATGAAAGAAAACCAGGAAGGATGAAGAGAGATAGAATCAATATTATCAATGTAATCAAAGCGCCAATATCACCAGCCTCATTCGCCGGATACATGGATGTCGGTCCAAAGGGGCCGTCCAGGAGCCAAGCAAATAAAAATAGATCAAAGACTAAGCCTTTTCAGCTTCCGACGATCCCTAAGAAACTTGGCACATTTTCCAGAGTTGACAGGTTGTGCAAAATCAGCCAAGAGAACGCCATCTTCGTCTCTTGCCTATGGGGATAGTTGCTTCTTCAACATTTCCTTGGTTTTCGGTGGCGTCTTCCCCTGTCGATCCGGATAAGAGATAAAGGGCCAAAAAGTGTTTCCACTCCGTCAACAGTACCTCTTTCGCCATTTTCACCCAACCAGCCATCATGGGCTGGCCCGTGTGCAATACCACAGAGACCGAAACAAGTGTGTTGCCCTTCCGCCTTGAATGGCTTCGCAGTGACTGATCAGAAGTAGTCAAGGAGGTCGCACTCTGGGATGGCGGCGTTTCATTTCATGTCCTTGCGCTTTTGGTGGGCGGCGCTTGCGCCATCGTCGCCTGCCTTATATCTTTTGCTCTGATAATGCTACATGCCACACATTACAGCAAGCCGATCGAACAGCGACAGTAAGTTCCCTTCTCCTTCGCGGTTAAAGTGAGACAGCATTGCTGACATGGCCTCGTCCCCGTCGCAGTATCATCCGTATCCTATTCATGGTCCCCGTCTATTCCCTCGTCGCGTGGCTCAGCATATTCTTCTACCATGACTCCGTCTACTTTGAGGTCCTCGGCGACTGCTACGAAGCGTTCTGTATCTCCGCCTTCTTCTCCCTCATGTGCCACTATATCGCCCCGGATTTACACAGCCAAAAGGATTATTTCCGTGGAATCCAGCCAAAGGAATGGCTCTGGCCGATGAGTTGGCTTCGAAAATGCTGTGGTGGCGATCGCATATGGCGGACTCCGCGCAGTGGATTGACATGGTTCAATGTAAGATGATACATTTGAGCAGACGTTGAGGGGGTTTAGGGCACTGATCATTGGACAGATTGTCTGGGTCGGAGTTTTCCAATACTGTCTTATGCGCGTTCTGATGACCATTGTTGCGGTTGTCACGCAGGCTTTGGGGGTATACTGCGAGGCGTCGCTGAGTCCCGCATTTGCGCATGTATGGGTACGTTTTGAAGTGCTGACTAGGTCTTGTGTTTCATCCCCTGTCGTTCCGCTAATAAAAAAATATTGTTAGACTATTGTCATTGAATCGGTCTCCGTCACCATCGCCATGTACTGCCTGATCCAGTTCTACCATCAGACCAGCCAAGACATCAAGCAACATCATCCATTTTTGAAGATTCTGTCGATTAAGCTCGTTATATTCCTGTCATTCTGGCAGTCGGTAAGTCTTTATAACGTAATTTCCTGAAAACGTGTTTTGCTAACTGATGTTTCCGCAATTTAGACCCTCATCAGCCTTCTAGTCTCCGAGAGCGTTATCGCACCGACGGATAAAATCGGCCTTAATGACCTCAAAGTTGGGCTCCCGGAGCTGATGATCAACTGTGAGATGGCAATCTTTGCTGCACTCCACCTCTGGGCCTTCTCATGGAAGCCCTACACCCTCACCAACCAATCAAATGAAGTAACGGATTTCTACGGCAACGGCAAGTCTACATACCAAGGTGGACGCTATGGCATAAAGGCCTTGATTGATGCTATGAACCCACTGGACCTCCTTAAAGCCATTGGTCGAAGTGCCCGCTGGCTGTTCGTCGGCCGCAAAAGTCGCATGTTGGACTCCAGTTATCGGGGGCAAAACGGCCTCCAGCCACCCCAAGAGGGCAGGGAACTCACCCAGCATCGAACAGCCTACCGTGGCGCCGGAGGGGCCATGTCCAGAGGCCGAACGGGCCGCTATGGCGATGTGCCCTACGAAGAGGGCCAAGTGCTTCTCGCTCACGCACAGCCCAATCCCGAGATCGCGCTCCCGGGCACTTCGCCGTACGCGTTGGATTTCGATGAGCATCTCCAGAACCCGTATAGATCATCTAGATTTTATGATCGAAGCCCGTCACCCTATGAGGATACCTCGCTACACAGTCATGACAATCTCTACTCGGACTCGCCGGTCCACTCTTACCCACCTGACGGTCCTCTTCGCGAGCAAGTCCCTATTCCCATGCCGGATCCTTACCATCCTCCTCCTCCGTACCCTGGTAACCATCATTCATGATTCATGTCTATGATACCATTATGACTCGGTGTAGACATCTAATATTGCCGGGGCTTGCTTTGATATGCATGTTTCCGCTGCGATTGAGCTACAAACACTACTCTTTTTACCTCACGCTACCCATGAGCACCCCGAGATCTTTGCACTCTTACTTTTCTCTTCATGTCCCGTTGTTTCGATAGGTATGGATACCCGCCTGTTTGCGTAGCGGCACTTTTTTTCACTTTCCTATTCCCCTTTTCACCCTTGACTTTATCTGTCACATCCCCCTTGGTGCACATTCTCTTAGCACCGCTGTGGGTTTGCATTTTCTGCATTGTTTTGTCTGGACCCAACCTCTAGTGTTACGGATGGAGTAGGTAAAAATGAAAAACAGTCATATCAAATTTCGTAATCTCGTCTAAATGGCCTTGAAAGAGACACTGTCTAAGCAAATATGGCGAAAGCCTACGCCCAAGATCCAGTAAATTGCCATTTGTGGGGGTTTCTGCGGGCTGATCGATGGCGAAAACACTCAAGAACTGGCCCTGGCTATCATGAATACATGGGGCCACCCCCGCGCCCAGCCTGGCCATAGAACTCCTCATTGAAGCTTCTTTGGAGCACGGTGGGATCTTTGCGCGCGGTGGCTACGTGACGTGCAGTCTGAACCACCGCAGATTTGCGACCTAGTTCGCGCATGGCTTTAACGTTGTTGCCGAGTTGGCCAAGTAGCGAGATCAACAGCACGTCGTTGCTTTGCGAAAGTACTTCGGTGGCGAAGGTGCTTTGCTCTGACGGAGAGAGAATGGACAGGTGCGAGAGGAGAGAGTTGACGTTGCGGAGGATTGGGTGTGACAGCTTGGTGGCGGATGTATTGTCCTTTGATCGATCTGAGCTAAAATCCGCTTCTGAGAGACTGGACAAATAGGATTTGATAAGGGAGACGCGGGTTTCGAGGGTGCGCACGGCATTGAGACGAGTACTGAGGCTTGCGATTACTTTTCAATCAGTCAGTCTCAACGATCCAAGTAGCAGTTTTGTTGAGGCAGTAAACGCTTACATTCCTCTTCCTCTTGTGAGAGTTCAATCTGCGAGGTCTGCTTATTTGACTCTGTTTGTTCTGTCTTCTGTGCACGCTTGGTTGGCTCCTGTGTCGCATTCAAAGAAGCGGTTCCAGAAGCCTGTACAATAGTATCGATACCAATCATCTCTGATTCTCCCGTTTCCACTGAGTAGGGCAGCTCCCTGAATCTGATATTCAGCACCGGCTGCTCACCATCAACCTGCATGTCCTTGCTTGCATCGGGGGCAGTCTCGCCTTCATGGACACTTTCGTATACGGTCAGGGGAAGTTTACCTCCATTTGAACTTGAATCTTGGAGCTGTGAGGGGTGGAAGGCGAGGAAGACGGCAGATTCGTTGTAGTCCTGGAGGATCTGTCGGTGGAGGGGGAGATGGGCGTCATTCGGCCCGTTTGATGGCGCAGTTGACCACCATCCAACAAGGTCTAGTGCGGGATCTTTGTGCACATCTTTGACTATAAAATGGTCAGCTTATACCCGCTAGGAGCAACTCGATTTGGTCTTGTGAGGGGTTCTGTGTACACTGCTGAAGACGTTCTCCAAACCATGCCGCAGGCAAAATAATATCATCGTTCAGTCCACAAGTAACAGGGCACTCGAATGCATGCTCCAGTGTTATCTCCCGTCCATTCTGTTGACCTAGGAGACCGCCAATTATCGGCCCGTGCTGCTGTCGGGCAGCGTGTCGAGTAATTTGGTCGGAGATAGTGAGGAGAACGAGCGGGTGTAGCTGGATGTGGAGGCCCGAATCGGATGACTTTTGAGAGACCAGACACTGTGGAGGCTCCATGACTGTAGTTTGCAATCCTGGGATGTAGAGGAACTTCTGGTGACGGACAGAGTAATAGATACGGTTAGTTGATGCGGTCATGTTTGGTCGGTTTGGTGTTGATGCCTGAGGCAAATGTGAGCTTTCCCCGCGGCGCGAAGAGCGAGCTTTACCTGTCACGAAGGCGTCCATTTCAGTTTTGGTTTTGCGACTGGTTATTGAAAGAACTTAAGATATTTGAAGAAATCACAATGTCAGTTCCTTCGACATTCGATGCAGTGAGATCACACCTCGCTCAAGTCCAAGAGAACCCCTCCACGGCCTTGGACATTCCTCTCATCGATAAATTGAAGTTGCAACTAGTCGAATCGACCGACCCTGTAGTCCCTACCACTCTTCTGTCGCAAATTTCTGTGCTCCTTCCTATATTGCAAGAAGACCCTACGCCGATTACAACCCTCGGAATCAGAGCTACCGCCTACTTCACCTTCACCGATCTTCAATCTATCGATCCCCCGATCAATCTTGTTGCTGGCTTCAAAGCTCCATCACCACCAATCAACCTCCTAGCTCTCTCACTGTTGGCCAAAGCCGCGCAAAAATGCAGTGAAGCTGCCATAGTTGCAGCTGATTCAAATTTGGTGGCTGCGCTCGTGGAGCTGTGGCTTTCAACATCTTCAGGCGAAGTTGCACAGGCTGCACTCGACACATTGTGGGCGCTATTAGAGATTGACGTCGCTAATTATCTGGAAAGTGGAGAATATGACCATGCCGGTGATGAGAGCAATACAGGACAGGGGCTCCTGTGGAGGAGAGTATTCACTGATAAGGATGTCTACGGTCTATTGTTCGGGCTGTGCAGCCTCCAGAGCGATGCCCCTGGTTGTCTTTCTAAAAATGAAAGAACTCTGGCTCAGGGCAGGCTAATGACACTCTTGGTGAAAGCCGGAAAGCTACGTTGGGACATCATCTCAACTTCCCAAGTACCGGAAATCGAGGCTAAATATCAGAGCAGCAGTATCCTGAATTTTGCAACCTGCCACATGGTCCAAGTGAGCGATGTCTTGATGCATATGACGCTGCTCAACTTTTTACACGAGCTGCTAGAGATTGATGGACCGGGCCTCGTCGCTCGAAGCTCCGTGCAGTCTGCTTCGACTTTCTCGTCCTCTGCTCTTGACTTCCTCGTCGAACACAAACTGCATTCCAAAGTACTGACTTATTATCTTGATGAGTCCAAGCTGGACTCGGTGGATCTTCTCTACCTATCCGGCCCAGTCATGGCATATGTGGCTCGGTACGCCGAAATGTATCCCAACCACTTGCTGCAGAACCCCTCTACCCTACTTGACGAGATTATCTCTCGCATCAACAGATCTCTCACCATTCCTACGGCTCAATGGGCACATGGCAAAATACCAACAGGCCACCTTGCTATTTTAGCTTCACTCCCCCGAGTGCTTCTTGTGGAAGCGAGCAAATATGGTGCCAATCCGGTTCTTGCGATTCCCACAAACCCTCCGAACGGCGAAGCTCTCGACGTTCTAGCGAAGATTTTCCACGGGCCTCCGCGAATTGGACTCACAAATTCAATGAGTTTGAACACATCCGGCTCAACTCCAACTGACTGGGATCGCGAAGCAGCTGCAGCGCGCATCCTCTACCTCCTCTATGTCAACCAACACCCCACTTTCTGGGACAATGTCGTGGGTGCTGCCGACGTCCTAGTGATGAAGCAAGTTGCTTTATCAGCTATAACTTTAATGAGGGCTATTACGACAGCGAACTGGAAACCCTCAGCTTCAGCACCCGCCAACACCACTTCATCCCGGTTCCAGTTACCCTCAGAAGATGGTCTGGGTCAGCTATCCCTGGCCACTAATGGATTATTCCCCAGCTCAGGAGCATGGGCAATTCTCACTCCACCTGCTCTGACTACACTTCTTCCATATCTTTTCAAGCCACCTCGGTCCTACGCAGACTTCGTCGGGGGTGGTGCAGGTGATACCCAGAGTGTCGTTTGGAAAGTAGCCACTGCAAAACATGATGTTCTCGTAGCTTTGCATAGCCGGTTGCAAGAAATTGATGGTCAGGTGGAAGGGTTTGAAGATATCATGCGAACGCTACAACAGCGTGTGAATGAGGGTCCCTGGGGACCTGTGCAATCTGGCGGTGCTCAGGTAGTGACTGCCGGACTATGATGTGGGATTGAATTTGAAAATCACATGAAGTAGTTTAATGACTCTCATTCAGTATCATCTTTAATTGTAAAAATTCGAAGTCCTATGGTCTATTATGTACGAAGTACAAAGTGAAGATCTGCGTATTGTTATCTTAGCGCCCACGTGGAGAAGCACTCACTACCTATGGAATCTGCCAGCCCTAGTGCTCTTTCAGGTGGGCGGTGAAGAAATGTATTTTTCCGGAGTCATGATCATTTTGTCCGCAGTTACATCACGAAAAATGATCCAGCTTCGTTAGCCCACATTAATTGACGTCTTATTACCACAAGTATGTCGCGTCGTGGGGCGCCAAAGGGCAAGAAGCCCCCCGGTACAGAGTTTACTTGGGACGCAGACCCTGGCGGAGAGCCAGACACAGCTCCAACGCCGCTATACCCTGTATGTTTGCTTCTTGGCCTGGCTCTCCGGGAAATCTTTCTCTTTCAGTGCACCAATCTTCATTATGTCCAAATCTACAGAGCCTAACTCCATATTCCCTCAGAAATATACTGTTCCATTTGCTCGGAAGTTGAGCCCCGCAGAACAAACCCAGGTGGACTACTACCGAGCGTTACGTGAAAGCTTTCACGAGGGCCCCTACTACTCTGTTCTTGATGCGTCCTCTTCCAATGCCAGAAAAGGCACCGCTGCACGCTCCAATTTTAACGCTTTCCACGGCATGCCTACTTATTCCGGCCGTTATCAAAAGAAACGGCGCACCCTCCCTAAGATTACCGGACGACCTTATTGTAAGTTCTCACTGCCAGCGTTGACTTTTATACAGCTGTATAAGACTAATTTCGCTTACTTGAACTGTTCAGTCTTAAAATTCTTCCCCCGCGAGCTATGGCAAACCCTCCAGCCAAACTTCAGACCCGACGCATCCCTAGATGGCTACCAAGCTCAGGCTTCGGCTGTTGGGTTGAAACGCGGTTTCGAAGACGA